AATAGTCTATTTAGAAGAAATGTGTACACAATTACAATAATATAATTTATTTAAAAAACAAAATTTCGTAAGTAGTACTTATGAATTTATTAACGATAAAACATAAATAATGGAAAAAGGACCTAATTCAAAGTAGATTTTATATTTTAACAAAAAAAAAAAACAAGTATTAAAAATGTCTTGAAGCATATTTAAAAAATTTATAAATTTTCACTTATAAAGAGCTTTGTTTTATTTTTGTATCGCATTCATAAATAATATTTATTTTGTTTATATGTAGGTCAACTTTTAAAATATCCTTAGAACAAAAGAATAAGGAATATAGAAAATAAAAATTAAATTTCTCGCCTACAGAAACAGATCCTTTTCATACTTCCTTTGCAGTTTATTTTTGGGTTTACTTTCCTTTTTTTTCACTTTTTTTTGTTTTGTATGTACCTACCTACATGTGACCCTTTATCACATTCATAATTTATTATCCTTTCAAAAACATTTATAAACATTTTTTTTTGCTTGTTTTCGTAAAACTATCCATTTTTACCTCTTAAAAAAGTTTTAACCTTAGCATTAAAAAAATGTCACTTTTAATAATCTTCTACTTATATTAGATTATCATTTGAATGTTGCTTATACACGTTTATATTTAAATTTAATATGAATAAATGAGCTTGTTTAATATAGGGTAAATTATTTAAGATTTCAGCAACTTAGTACAAAAATACATATGTAATTTTTGAATGCATGTGTAGGTTTAACTTAACTAATATTTTACGTTTTTAAATTTGATGAACTTGTATCGAAAAATATCGATAGTTGAAATTATGTAGTATCAATGGTGTTCACCACCAATAATGCTACACTAGAAATCACTAGTAATAATGCTTTACTAAAAATAATGCTACACTGATAATAATGCTACGCTAGGAATATTGCTGCAATAAGAATAATGTTACAGCTAAGTTGCACTAAAATATTGAATTTGAATATAGCATTGTCATCATCAGAGTTGCCATAGTAAAAGTATTGCAGGGTAGTATGAAAATATCACTTGAATCCCTTTTAAATTCTAAAAATATAAGATTTTAGTTGATAAATTTAGAAAAATGGAATAAATTGGGAAAAATATTTATCAGCCTCAACGCAATTTTTTTGACAAATACAGCTTTTATTTACAACAACTTTACCATTGAAGTGTGAAAACTATATTTTTCTTGTTAACAATATTTACCTAAAAAATGTTATTATTAAAATAAGCCATTAATATTTTGTTATACATAGGAAAAAAAAAGATTTTAGTATAAAGAATTTCAGAATTTTTACAGAAAAGTTACCAAATCAAATTAGAAGTTAGCCAAACAAAAATAAAGTAACCTTTTTAGTTCATAGTAACAAAAAACGGCAACTCTTGCCAAAGTAAATTATTTTTTATCTAAGTTGCTTCTGGGCTTTTTTTTTTTACATTAAATTAATAAAATTAAACTTGTTTGAAATTATAAAAAGTGCTTTTATTAATGTAATATAAAGCTTCACCTATATTCAAAAGTGTAAAAATTGCTATAGGCTAAAAAAATTCAAATCAAATATTGAATTCTATACACGGAGTGACCCGCATGAAATTTGATTTTTACAAATTTGGGTCTCCAAAATTGCTAAGATATTGAACTTGAACTTTTGTCTTAATTAAATTAAAGTAGCATAAAATGCAATATATTAATAAATAAAATTAAAGATGAAAATATCGTTCTCATGAAAAGGTTAATCAGTAGTATCCAAAGTTATTCGGCAAATTCCTTCAAAAATTTGGCTTTAAGCAGCACCTAAGCGTTGTACAAATTTTTATCTATTCATAAGTGGATATGTAAGTATAATATTTTTAATATTGTGAGCTTATGTACATACCTACATAGCTCCTACCTAGCATCTACCTTCTAAAAGTGAAAATTAATAAAAATGATATCCATTTATTTGCTGACTACGCAAAAAAATATTTCTCTCTAAATACCCGGAATCTTTAGAAATCCAAAAAAAAAAAACATAAATTCAGGCAATTATTTTAATAATTTTTTTATCTTTCACTCTCAATTTCATATTTTCTTTTCAGTTTTTTGATAAAAAAATGGAAAGTATAACAATTATTATTCCTTATATGTTAGATTATCGAGTTTCATTTTATATGGGAAAATAAAGAAAAATCTTCATGACTTAAAGGCAAAAATTAAGAGTGAAAAAATCAACTTCTCTGAAAAGTGAATCTATACAAGGACAACAGAAATAATAACAAATATTTATTATGGAATTTAAGTCCGAATTGAAAAACAGAATAGTTATGTGTCTAGGTATTTATTGATATAGGTAGGTACTTGAAAAAGGATACTTAATTTTCCTATTTTACTTTAACAGAGATAATAAAGGAGATGTTAAGTGACATTAGAAATCATTTAAAATAGGAAAATTCTTTTTTCTATTTTTTTTTTTAATTTAATGAGAATATTTCAAAGTAAAAAAAATTTTATTTAGGTCAGCAATTAATATTTTTAAGAAAAAATATTCTTTTCTTTTAATATTTCAGAAGAAAAATTAAAAGATAATTTGAATGGTAGGGTCAACTTATTCCAAAGGTAAGAATTGAAAGATTTTATTAAAAAAATTAACAAGTTCTTTGTCCTGATTTTCTGCTGGTTTACCTATAGCATGCGTTGATTTGATTCTGTGACAAAAGCAGGAAAGTATTAATATTGAAAATATTTTTAAATCATTTAAAAAATTTTTCTGTACTTTCTGCAATGTTTTAACTTAGAGTCTTTTTGGTTTCACTTCTGTTTGTGATATAAGGCAGTTTATTTAATAAATACCTCTTCTTATTTTTTAAAGAACATTTTTGAAAAAAGAAAATTTTTGAAAAACGATTCTCTACTTCGTTTTATTAGCGTAAATGTCGCATTTACCCCTTCTCTTTGTTCCATTTGTTCGTATTTGCTATCTACCTTTTTTCAAATCAAAGTTGTTATTTAGTAAAAGTTTAACTTTTTGTGACAAATGATTAATTTTTACAAATATTCGGTACAGTGTTTTAATTTTGTTTCCACTCAGCACATAAAAGTTTTCCAATTACTTAAATGTTAACAAGAAATTACTAAAAAATTAATAATGTAATATTAATGTGTACGTATATAACATAATTCTATTATTTTATTTTATATATAAAATAAAAATTGTCCATGAGTTTATGTGTTAGTTTTCAATACGAATAAAACAGGAAATATAGGTACAGAGTGATGTTATATTAATTATTCTATAGATTTCGAAATCTTATTGCCAGTGTTTAAAAAATTGTTTATAATTATAAATAAATTGACACGATCGCTTTGTACCCCGAGTTAGGCGCCTTTAAATATTTTAAAATTTTTTAATGGGATTTCAATAACTTGGAAAAAATTATAGTTGCTGAAGTTGTACTTGATTGCAAGGAGGTCCATTTTTTTATGAGTATTTCAAAATCTTTTGGCACATCTTTTAAGGAATAATTAAGTAAAATAAGTTTTTATGTTTTAACTATTCATGTCTTTAAATATTTATTTGATAGAGTCATCTCCAAAAATAGCTTATTTCAGTGTGTATTCAATTTGAATCTCACAGGGTAAGAGCATTGGGTATAACATTTAATTTAATGTCACAAAATAATTACTTTTATGAATTACACTGTACATCATATCGTAACTCTACGCTCTTGTTACTGAAAATGTATTTAAATAGGGGGATTTTTCCGAAAAAACTTTTCATTAACTTTATAACAACAATATAATAAGAATAAGTACTTCCTGACACTTTAATAAGTTTTTATATTTATAAATTTTACCAGCAGTATATACTCGCACAATCTATGTATTGATACATATTTTGTAATTTAGTATTATCGTTAGTTAAATGAATTTTTCCCATTTTATTCAAGAAACAGAACACCAACAACAAATGCAATAAGTAATATACACAAAACTTCCTTAAATTATAGTTTTATTACTTTTTTACGTTTTTCTTATAAATGATTTCAATTTTTCGTATTCAAACCATTGCAAATAGACAAAATCTAGCAAAAAACAAAGAAGAAAAAAAACTTTTCCACATGAAAGGGCATCTTAAAGTTTCAATTCCATTTTTATAATTTTCTTGAATTACGGAACACAAATGAAAAAGTTGAAATGTCAATTTGACATATGTTCAGCCATTAATAATGACATTTTGTCTTTTTTCTTTTCTTGATTATTACGTTTTCTTTTGACACAATGAAAAAATTATAAGAAAAAAATTGAAAATGAAAAAAATTTGAAAGAATAAAAATGAACTAAAGGACATATGGGGCATCATTTAAGGACATAATATAAATTGACATATAAAAAACATGTGTACAAGAAAAAAAAAAGAAAAACATTAATTTTTAAAACATAAATTTAATGAATGGCCACTTTATTTTGCTGAATATTTTCTGAATTTTTATAAATCATTTCTTTCTTTCTAGTCGCCTTGTTAGACTTTTTATGAAAAGTAACATTTTCTAAACAGTGATTTCGTATCAAACTATGGAATTGTCAAATTGATAGTGTTGAATCTTTAATTAATGAAACTTAACAATGCATAAAATTAATTAACGCACTTTGAGTTTGCAATCTTGACAGTTTTTTCATTTTAAAATGCAAAATTAATAGAAAGTTCATGGAATTATATTTTGAATAAAAGAAACTATAAGATTATAGGAAGTTTTTTAAAAAAAATTTATGTAGCTTTAAAAAAAAATGTCTTCATTTTCCTGAGTCAGACGTCAGTAATATTTCTTTATTTTTAAATTTCTTAACCACTTTAACCTTAAGCTGTAATGTTAAGTAACGGGAATTGCTTTTAATAATCAATACATCCACAAAGTAAGTGTATGATAAAAAAAATATAAAATTTAAGTGAAATTTTCTCTAAGCTGCTTTATGTCCGTATAATAATAATTATCCTGCATTTTATTTATTAGTAACACCTCTTAATATCGTAAAATATGAATATGATGCATTCAAAAGAGACTGAAATGTTTCCAAGGACATTGGATAAGTATTACCGATCATCAACTGAAATAAAGAAAATTGAAAAAAATTTATAATTTAAAAGTAAATTTTATTTGAAAAAAAAGAAAAAATAACCTTTAATTCTCTTTGACTTCGCATCATAATAAAAGAGAACATTTTCTTTAATTTAATACTGCAATTGAACCAGTCTGCATCGTATATTGCAAAACTAACTTTTACACTCTGTGAACAAAAAGCCAAAAAATTTATGTTTTCCTGCTATTAATAATCTTAAGACATGTTAATTTCAATTCTTACTTCATCTAATAACTCATTTGCTTGCCAATAATATGTAAAAAGGACGTATAACATTGTGAAAATGTACATGAATGCTGAAATTTTTTGAGTAATAGATTCAACCTAAGATTAATAGAAGAAAAAAAATAATAATTTTTAGAATTTTATTAAAATTTTTGTTCTGTGAAGTGCAATTATTTCAAAATTTTTGTACCCCAAGTCAGGCGCCAGTACATACTTCAATATAATATTTATTTTAATAATTTTAAAGTAAAATTTGAATATAAAATTTTTTAGATTAATAAATATTTTTATAAACCTACAAAATTTATACATAACAAAAGTGCGCACAATATAACGCTGTATAACAAAAATTCCACAAAAATTATATTTGTAACCATTGAATTGAATTCCTTAACAAATCTATAAATATAAAAATACATTATATATTAAATTAAATTTTAAAATTATCATTAATAAATTAACCTTATAATTTTATTATGATACTTAATGCAATTTATTAATTTCTTCTTTATATTATTCTCATTTGTTAAAGATTTATCATTACATAAATTTCTTAATTGATATTGTAAGTCCTTTAACATAATAACACCGAACATTGTTACTGATGCAAATAAATTAACAAATGGCATATACATTATTGTTAATAGGAATGGTGCTGTTAATTCCAATAAGTATATTATTTCATAGTATGGAAATTCAATTATATTAACTTTTGGTAAACCGACACCAATGGGATGAACTAAAGAAGAGTTGGAAATAAATGAAAAAAAAAGTCGAATTATATTAAATAAAAAAAAATGTGAATTTTTTTCATTTCATTTCAAATCTCATTAAAAACTTACATAATATATGTACCAATAAATAAATTAATTAACAAAATAATTAATGAAAAAAAAATTACTTCTATCATTGCAAATTAAGGGAAATAAAACTGCTCCAATTAAATCCAAAAACGATGCTGATAAATTAAAAATTGAAATACTACGAGCATTTTTCGTTATTCTGTACAATTCAATTTTGACCCATTTACTTCCATTTTCCTGCCATGGATATAAAAATAATCAAATTAAATTCATTTTTTTTTGTTCAGTTCCTTTGTCGTCTATTGTCTATAGGTGTAATCGATAATGTTAAAATGCGCATTGAATTCTTTGCATCTTAATCGATATTGCAGTTGCTAACAAAAGCTTTGTAACGTTCAATGTTGTTCACAGAATGTGTACACGTGATGTGTAATCAAAAATGCAGAAATCAAATGTTACGAAATTATAAAATATTGCATTTTTAATAATAAAAAAATTTCAACTGCCAACTTTGTTTTTTGTGCAAAATGAAAAATTTTGAAGAGGATTAGTTTATTTTACTTAATAAAATATTTTAGTAAAGTTTCAAATTCAAACTAGCAAAAATAATTTATTGCTAAAGCAGTTGTCAATCGGTTGCATGCAAAATTTGTACACAAAAGTTGACTTGCAAAAGTGTTTTTAGCATATATTGTTGATTGATGCCGGCCAGAAGCAATTGTAGTCGACCGGCCATTTCACATTATTGATTACATCTTATATATTTGCATATATACTCAACGATTATATCTGTGCATATAGAGAATTTAAAAAAAAATGAATGTTAAACTATTTACCATTATATTATCATGCAAGAATTCCAATTTAATTAAAAAATCTTCAAATTTTTTACGATTTACTATCAAAAGGAAACAACGTAAAATTGCATTAAATATTGCAACGAAAAAGAATGAATGTAATATAAAAATTGTTAAATTATAACGATTTTCATATATAAAAAATGATTGTAAAAAATTTAATAAACAAACTGGTATTATTATTGCATAACGTTTCCAATTATTTTCAAATAAAATTCCACAAAATTTAAAAATTTTTAAATTAATTTCAAGTATTGGTATATTTTCAAACATTTTCTTTGTGAAACAAGAAAACAATTTTTCCAAAAAAAAATTTTAATTTTTATTAAAAATCTTCCACTTTTTTTTTATTATTTTAGGTACAGAATTTTGTAATGATCCAATAGTTTTGAAGAAATAAATGCTACTGCACAGAACAACGAGGTAAAAAATGTTGAATCAATTGGAATTCAAATAGAAATTTTAATAATTTCAGTATTACTGCACTCAATATTTATTTAACAAAAAGAAAATAGCTTGTAATGAAAAATGTTTTTTGAATTAAATTTTCTAAATTACATGAAATTTTAAATTTTCGTTTTAAAGGCATGATTACACTGATTAAGTTACAATTCTTACTTCATCTAAAAATTATCCAATTATATTTTCAGTCTAGTGTATTTAAAATGTAATATTACAGGTGCAAATTTTATTGAAATTGCATTATAATTATTTATAACATAACACTATAATTTAGCTACATTACCTATTACGAGTGTGAAATCAAAAGTGTATTTCGTTGTTTTCTAATTTTTGCTTTTTTAAATTTATTGAAATTAATTAGATATTACATAGTATCAGTTAAAAATGAAAATTATACTCATAGGTTTCAAGGATTGCTTATTACTCGCATATATAATTTAAAATATTAGTTATTTTATTCTACATCTGGTTTTGTTCACACAGGAATTCATAATTTTTTACACAACGATCGACAGCACAAATTTGAATATAAGGTAATTATTCAATATTTGCCATCATTTATTATGCCAAATTTTTAAAACTAAGGTCTCTTTGGAAAATCTCTTAATAAAGATTTTAAAATCTACAATTAATTTCAATTGTATTTTCTGAATCATTGTAATTAAATATTGTAAATGATTGAAATTCATTTAATTTAAAAGGATTGAAGGCAAATCATGTAATAAATGTTTCATTTCAAAATTTGAGTACATTATATAATTATAATTAACAAGTTTAAGTACAGTATAATTACAATTAAATTCCAGCCCAGATATCGCCATAATGTTGGGTGATATAAACGGTAAGAACATAGGACAAACGAAGAGACCCGTTACAACAAGACTTAAGGAATATTTAAGTGAAATAAAACGTGCAAGGAGAGTAGGATTTAACAGGATTTTCGATTCTATGGTTGCAAAACACATTTATGAAACGGATCACACAATCACGAAAGATAACTTAAAGGTATTAAAAGAGGTAAAAGGAAAACACAGAAGAGAAGTTCATGAAAGCATGCATATATACAAATCAAACAAGGACTGCCTACTGAACACGGACGAAGGTAACGCGGCTACTTGGCTCTTTAAATTAATTATTTGACCAGTTTTAAGGTTTAAAACAGGTATAAATTTAGTTTGTAACTAAGAAAAAAAAAAACAAAAAGAAAAAAAAATATATAAATAAATAATCAAATTCTAGATTAAGTCAGGTAGATAATTATATTAAGTCCGGTATAATATTCCTAATTTTAATAGATTTTAATTTTTATTGCTTGTTATCTTAATTTGAAGAAAATCAGTTTTGATAAAGTGAGTATGTAGCGCACGAAATATATTAGCAAAAAATAAAAAAAAGTATTTTATTCCGAATAAAAGGAAGTTTTCTTTTCATACCAATAAAAAAAAAAAGAATTATATTTCGGAAAAATTATCAACCAATGAAAATTTTTTTGAATTGGTAAGAAGGACTTAACTGATGACATAAATAACAATGGCGAGTTGCTTAATATAAGCCGCAATAAAACTGCAGATATAATGCACTCAATAGTCAACAGAATCTGGCAAACAGAACGAATATCGTGCTGCTGGAAGAAGGGTATTTTAAGAAAGCTACCAAAAATGGAAATTTAATGGAATGCAAGAAGTGGTGGAATGTAACAATACTGAATGCAGATATGAAAGTGGTCGCGCTTATAATAAATTTCAGAATTGAAATTAAAATAAAGTAAAATGAAAACAGACCCTTGTGAGGGGAGGATACGGCTGTATCGACCAGTCTAACACACTTCGAATAATTGCAGAATTGTTACTCGAACGGGATTTACCACGGTAATTACTTTCGTGGATTTCGAAAGGGCCACTGATACGTTAAACTGAGAGTTAATATTGCACTCCTTGTATTATTTCCCGAACTAGTCACTATACATATGTGGATACGGAGCTAAGGGTGGTTCGTCAAGACTATGAGACTACCTAATTGCCCTGGATGAAGCCATCGAAGGGGGCCAAGCATGTCTCTCCTCCCCGTTGGATCCTCACTCCCCAGTCCTGTTCAATGTAGTGTTAGAGGAAATCGTAAGAAAAATAATTCAGACACACAAAGATATACATGATAAACTACTCAATCTGCAGAAAAATGTCCGGGAAGTCGACAAAAACGAAGACAAAAAAATATTAGAACTAACGCCCGAAAAAATGTTACACTAAATACAAACAACACAGAAATAGAAGATGTTACTGAATTATGTTGTGTTGTAATACTGCGGACGGAAGCACTGAAAAGGCCATGGAGAATAGTGTAAAATTCGCACTTAGCTACGGCACAAAAATACGAATATTCAAGGTTTGCGTAATGTCGGTGTACTAATATGGAAGTGAAACCTGGCTAATAAAGAAAATCTGTACACACAAAATGCAAGTCTTCAACAAGTGCGTAAGACTTATGCAACATATTCCTAAATATTTTAATTTAATTAATATAGTATGTATTGATATCTTAAATTGCAAGAAGCAGACACAAAAGCCGCTCCAATTTATGTTTTAAATTTTCAAATGTAGAATAAAAAAAGAAGTCATATAATGAAAATTATAATAAGTAAGTGAGTTAGTTGCGTGATAGATTCCATCATTCAGAGTTTAGCTTTTAGAAAATATTTTAAGTGTAAGATAAACAGAGTTAGAAAATATTTTAACTGTAAACCTAGTTGTAAATTTATTCAAAGTTTCAAACCTAACTCAAATTTTATTTAAACCTAGCCTCAGTTTAATATTACTATATATCAAAAATTTTTAAACATATAAAAAATATTAAAAAACATATAAAAATGCGATAGATTTTCATAAAGTCGGGAATATAAACACTAACTATTTAAAAAAAAAATATTAATGAAAGCAAAAATTGGAAAAAAATCCAAAGGACCATAAAATTTTGTACCTATATCAAAAGAGAAATAGAAAATTTAAGTATAAAGAAGAACTTAATGGCCAAACTACTAAAATTTTAATAGTCCCAGATTGCTTATTTCATTATTTTTGATGTTGAAGGTCTTATTTTCAATTAAAATTTTATTCAATTTTTTATTTGTTATTTGAAACTAAACTATAAAAACCTTGCAAATTAAAATTTGTTTCTCTGGACTATTGTGAATGAAGAGAGTGTATATACTCGTAGGTTAAATATTTTAATATTAGGAGCATATTATTCTTAATTCTTATTTTGAGTTCTGATAAAATATATTAAGACATCTTAAATATTTTATTTTCCTAATTTTAATTCCATGTATAACAAAATTTTTGGTAATAATGTTTAAATTAGTTTTTAAAGTTTTTATATTTCTAACTCCTGTTTATTATACCAACCAGTCCCCCTTCAATAAATTCTGGAAAAAATCTACCATGTACATGTGTGTAATTCTTTGTTATATTTTCTCCTTTATGTTTGCAATATTCACTAAATTATCATCACAAATCGTTTATCTTACTGACTCTTATATATATAACACTTATTCAGAACTTTTCATAAAATCAGGAAATAAAAAAAGTAAAAAAAAGTGAACAGGACAATAGAAAAACATTTTTATTTCAATTTTAAGTTTATTCTAGACTCGTAAATGTACATATATATACATACATATATGAATATTATGTGATATAGGGAAAAAAATATACGAGTACATTAACATTACCAATGCATAACATGTCCTCATTTAAAGGAACAACAACAATAAAAAACGGGGCAAAAAAAATAAATAATATGAAATAAAAATTTAGGATGGTAAAATATAGTGGAAGGAGATGAAAATTTTCCTCCTTCATATTTTCTCCGCAGTTAAATATAAAAAAAAAATGATTTCGGTTGACCATATCATTTTTATCATAATTTTTTTTATATCTCCCATTACCAAATCACAAATTAACAAAATCACAATAAAAAATTGATGTGAGCAGCATAATTTCGACCGAATTTGCGTTTTTATGATTGCAATTTCAAATTCATGCTATTCCTGAATTTTATTCATCCACTTTATGTTTTCGGTGAATTATTGGTATTGGATCTTAGTTTAGAATTGATTTAGCACTTCTACTCGCACGGAGAATAAGATGCCCGATAAAATTATACAAGACATGCCCTAAGAAAAACATCGCTTTGTTCCATTCAATGAGAGTGTAATGACATAGGTTTAACAGTTGCCTTCATAAGACTGCCGTGCTATGTCTGGTATTCTCTACATAACTGTCTTGATAACTATGGTAATTTGTCAGAACTGAAAATTCTAATGCTAGAACCAACGCGCAGCTATTAAAAATAATAGAATTAGTGAAGTGTTGTTAATGGAAACTATATGTAAGCTTCCTTTAACAACATAAGCCTGTGTGGCACAAAAAAAAAAATGTTCTTTTGTATTTTTATTTAAAAACTTATAAATGAAAACTATACCTCTCTGATTATAAAAAAAAATATGGTTGACAAAAAATTACTCACTTATTCTTTTTTTCTCCCTTGAATTTAATGCCGCATATTTAACTTATACTCTTTCTTGCTTGCCTTTCTCTTTTCTCTCTCTTCTTTTGTCATAATTTTTTTTTACTGCCCACATACCGATAATGATGATTATGATGATAATAATTTTTCATATTTTTCACTCGTTTCTCTTTGTTGCTTGTTTTTTTTTCACGAAAATACACTTTATTTTTATTTTTAAAATGTGAAACCCTGAAGGCCCAAGCAAAAGACTAACCGAGATAAAAAGAAAACGAAAAAAAAATTTTGAATGAGTAAAATTATTTCCACCCACATTAAATTTTTTTTTTTATTTGTGTTTTGTTGTTCCACATATATGGAATGGGAAGGGTTATGAACAGGAAATAATTTTCTTTATCCGTTTTCTTTACTGTCTTATATCTTAGTTTTAGTTATTACCCTCTTTTATGGTGTTATTTTATAATATTTTTCTTTTGAAAATCGTATACATTTATACAGGATGCTTACATAGAATATTAATTAAATATGTGTGGAATATTGCTATTGTTAAGTTGACCACAGTCCATAAAAGGAGTTGTAATTACAGTTAATATGAAATATTTTTACTGAATTTCAGTGTAGTTTTCAATTCTATTAAGTTACTATTGTAACTTTATTCACTTTATAGTGTAGGTGTCATTAGTACAAACGAAAATTTAAACAAACTTCCTCTTCATTCTAATTATTGAGCAGAGAAAAATTCTGAGAATATTATTTAATTTTGAAAAAGAAAAATATTCTTTATGCTCTCTCAATTTTCCTCCAAGCTTACGCTTTTAAATTCTTTATGGCCTCTGAAAATCTTGCATTTCCGAATATTTTTCTCTATATAATTTGTTTCATTCTTTACTTTAGGTGATTGTAGCGTCACCCTGTTAAAAAAAATAAGTGATACATTATTATCAATTTAAAAGTTCTCTGACCCAAATGTCTGGCCAAGACCTTTTTTTTTCCTTTGTTATTATTGCGATTATTCTGAATAATATTTGGACCATCATAAACATGATGTAGACGTTATTTTCTTTTAGTGTTTTTTCTTGAAATTCTTTAGTTGAACTTTTCTCATATGTCAATTGTATGATAAAAGTAGTAAAAATAAAACCTATGCCGTCTTTTGAACTCCAAAAAATTTTCCATTTTTTTTTCATATTTCCTATATGATTTTATTTTCTATTTTTATTTCTTATTAAAATGAATGTGTTGAATTTACCGCCTATAGCCAATATTTTATGTTAAAACTTTTTAAAATATCAAAAAGTACAAAACGGTTTTAATAGTTACAATTAATCCCCATCCCTATTCCTAGTTTTGCTTTAGGAAATGAAGAGGTACACGCACATTTAACGCCGTTTGAACATTACGTACACATTGCTTTTATATGGCATGATTTGTATTTATGGTTTTTTAAAAGTAGAAAAGTAAAATCCTCGCAAAAAAATCCTGTTGTCTAAATCCACAAACAATTTCTGGACATAAGAAAAAATTCTAACAATTTATGATTATAAAAGAGAGAAAAAATTTAGGAAATAAACGTTTTCATTATTATTGTGCGTGGTATATGGACCAATTGCTATCTTTTAAGGCAATAATAAGTAAAGTTAATATTGTTTTCGTTTACTAAATCTCTTCTCTATTCTTTATCCTTTTCAGGTTCTAAAAATAAAAATTTTCTTTGAACAATATTTTTTAGGTTCATTTTTATAAAAAAGACTTATGTATAACTTTTGCTGGAAAAATTTCATCAAATAATTCTAATGTAGCTTGTAGTTGTAATGACTATTATTAGGATTATGGAATGTGAACAAAATTTCTAACAAAACGAATATTGAGATTAAAGAAAAAATGATGGGGGAAAGAGAGTAAATTGGTATCATATTGTTATTAATCCAAGAGAAGAAAAGGAATAGGAACACGTATACCTTATTGCCCAATATATTACATAAAATAAAAATATGTAAAAGATAATTCAAAACTACTTCGTTTTTCCTCAAATTTTATTTTCAGTAAGAAAAAAGAACGTATGAACTGTATGAATAGTTTCTATCAATACGATACAGTATAGATTCTAGATTGTAATATCGATTTTAACAATAAATCGAGCGTTTCGAGTTCCAAACTTCTAGAAAAAAAGACACTAAAGTACACGACCACTGATCACCTCACAGAATCAATAAATTTGGTAAATTTTTTTAAAGTTTTTCACAGTTGTTGGATAAAATATTTTTAGATATCAATACTTTTATACTGGGCGCAAATTCAAGTAAATATAAAATTTTCATGATTTTCATTATAAAAATTTAAAGCTTTACATTTGAATAATCTTGTACTTCTACTATTTAATATATAAAATATTATTAATGTTTTTCTTTCCTGAGGACATTTTACTTATTTTTTTTTCAAATTTTTTTATTTTTGAGCTGTCAAAAAAATGTTATGGATTTTATGCAATTAAACTTTGTATGTTATTCAAAATTACAACCAATTTATTTTGTGAACAAGAAATAAAGAAGAATTCGGTTTTTTTAGTACAGTAACTTCCCAATTGAATTATGTGCACATTGTGTTTTGTGTGTCTTATATAATTTAGTTTAGTTTAGTTAGGGAACGGAGGTGGTACGCTCAACGATGTTATACAGCATTAGGCCAAGGTCAACTGGCGTCCCAACACGACACACTTCTCGCCGCAAGTCTCCTTCGACAACGTTCAGGAGATCAAACACGGCCTCCTTTAGTAAAATTTCCAATCCATCCGATCTCGTGCTGATATGATACCGATATCGTCTCAAAAGGCGGCTTCTCCTTCGCGTCAGAGCGGGGTACACGTAGAGCACGTGTTGTACGTCCTGCATCATATCGACATCTCGGGAAATATTCGATGAGGGAATGGCCGGCTTGTTAGCCATCTTTCGCAATATGATCACGTAGAAGCTCAGCGCCCCGTAAAAATTCCAACCGCAATATTAAGATGCCCCTGCTCAATGCCAGCAAATATCTTGTTCTTGCACCGTTCTGTTCAGTCGCAGGCACTTGTCGTTGCACAATTTGCAAGTACACAACACTGTACCAAAGCAAATTCCCTCTTCTTCTAGTTTCCTCATTTATAATGTTTTTCAAATTCCCCAAGGGCGGAAGCACCGAACTGTCGGCACTCGCCTCTTATCTCGCCGGCTGTTCAGCTTTCACATTCCCTTTGCCTTCATTGTGCCCCGGAAGTTACTGTTGTTTTTTCATAAGAGCACAATGAAAAGCAACAATGAGGAAATAAAATTAAATTTTTGATGAAATTTCTTTTGAACACATTAGTTTTTCTCCCCTTCAAACAACATTTCTGTAATTTTTCTTTTTCTCTAAATCTTAAAAGGTAAAAATTGTTGATTCCTAAAATTTAAAAGAATTTTATTATTAAAGTACAAATAAATTTTCTGATTAAAAATATTGTGAAATTTAAATCCATTCACTTTAAATTCTTTTTTAAATTTACTTTGAACTTTTACTTTTTATAGAGATATCTAAGGTTAGATTTTATACAGGCATTTTTAACTTGGTTTTGTATTGTGGAATGTACACTATTGTAAATCTAATGCTCCGGGGCGTTTTTCGAAAATTGAATTACGTAATAAACGCTCCTAAAAATATGATTGCTGAACTGCATTTAAACTCCTAGTGTAGGTATTTGTTCAAAATGAATCGTTGTTTTAAGCCAGTTCAAACAAATTGTAAAAGTTATTGTCATATAACTTGTATATAATGGAAAACCATTTCAGTCTCATCTTTCAACATAAGCTCAAAAACAACAATAATTTTTGGAGAGCGATTCTTGTCCTCATTTTAAATAATAGTAATATTAATTGAAACTGCTCTTAACACTTTATATTTACTTAGAAACACAACTTTAATCAATTATAATTTCATTATAAGTACTCTAGTATGCTATAGATCATTCAATTATTCAAATATCCTTAAAATAAAAACAATTATGTAATATTTTTTGTTACAAGATGATTTAATTGTACCGTAATCAAACAATTATATCATTCCTCTTATCCTCATCCATATATCGATACCCTTGCAACACTAATGTAATTTTCTGAAAATGCAAACTTAAAACTATATACAAAATTTTTAAACGATTGTCATAATCAGAAACTAAATTATTATTTATTGCTACTAAACCCTATATACATTTAAAATTTTATAGAATAGAAAAAATATGAAAATTTATAAAGACTCCCTATGGTATTCTAAATTGCGGTCGTCATTAAATTATAAAAAAAAAAAAACAGAAACCAAAAATGAATAAAATCAACAAAAAAATGAGATAAATCAAATAAAAGGATTTCGAAAATCTCTTAAATAAAAAGGATAAAAATCCAAAAAATTAAATAAACTGATAAAAAAATAAAAAAAGAGATCATTTGAATTCTAATAGCAAACGAATTTGTATTTTCAGTTCGAAAAAAAAAAAAATCAAGTTTTTTTTTTTTTTTTTGAATCACTAAGGAACCCCATATTTCAGTTCAAATCCATCCATCATTAATATCCTCGTTAATAAATTCATTTTCATTCCTGTTTTCGTTTTTTTGAAGCTTCGACAACAGTTTGGGGAAAAATATTCCCCGCAGGATTTTGAAAATAAATTTTTTTTCCTCTTTACGTTTTGTTTAGTGCCTGCTTCCAAAGATGCGTACATTTAATGCAAAAGTCCCCATACAAAATACAAAAAAATAAATACAAATTTTTTTCAAATTGCATACTAGAACACAAGAAAAATTGATTTTATAATAAGCAGAAAACCCATTTTGTGAATAGATACTTTATTATGCTTTTAGATCGTATTTAGTATGGGGAAAAGTTCTGTTATTTTTTTTAAAAAATTCTTCACGTATAAACTTTGATGTATGCACTGAGTTGAACTATAGGTCACTTTAAAAGTATTCTATCGAATAATAAGTTATTTTGAAATTCACAATATGAATTTGCACGAAAAAAATAAAAGAATATCTTTTGATTTGTATGTCCACCGTTATGTCCAATTTGAATAGAAAAAATCGAGGATTGAAGTTATGAAGTTGAAATCTTATTTTTCAAAACGTTACGAAATAAAGTAATAAATCAATTTAATTTATGTAAATCATTTCTAAAAAAATTCTGCTTAAACTGTAACCGGATAATAATACCCGACACACTCAAACCGAATTTTATTTTAGCAATAGGTTGCCATGTTTATTATCAATTAAAAATATTCTGGGTACATGCTCGGGAAACAGTATTAAAAATATTTTAAATGCGCTTATTTCAAACGAAGTCCTCAATGAGAAGAAATTTTCGTTTATCATTGATTAAGTTATACGAATAAATTTTTAGGTACATGCTCGGGAAACAGTTTCAAAAATTCTGATTGGAATTTAACTGTACCATTTCTAATTTTCAAATATTATTTACTGGTTAAAGACAAAAATGATAATGTCCAGGAGTCGTTCTTCTTCATTCTTTAACGGAATACTACAAAAAAAAAAAAATGAAATTTACAGTTCGTTGTCTGCAATCAACAAAATTAAAAAACGAAAAATAGTAAACATGCTTTTCCTCCCATATTCTGTGTCCATTTTTTTTTTCTGTATTGCTCAGCTTTTATGTTCAATAGTTTATGGATAATTTTGTTTTTGTTTTTATTTTCTCAGTTCAACCTTAAATCTACCATTTTCATTTCATCCATTCCGTGTCACACATTCCTTTAACTTTATTATATTCCCCTTCCCCCTTTTTTTTAAAGGACAACAAAAATATTCTGATTGACTTCAAAATTTTCGCTTATTTTTGATTTTGTATTTATTTTTTTACTTTTTTTTTTGTGTAACATTTTTTTCATATTATCCTTTAGGTTTGTTTTTTTTTGAAGAATGCACACAATATAAAAAAAATAATAAAAATGTGAAAAAAAGTTTTCTATCTCTACAATAATATGACGATTATGTATGAATGGCGTAAAGTAGCGTCTGTAAGGAAACGTGACAAGAATATTAACCCCAGACACATATACAACAATAAAAATAATGAGAAAAAGTAGGAAAAAAAATAAATACTTCAACTACTTAACTTCCTTAGTGATATATTGGCACAGTGAAAACTGGATGATGGTCTGTTATATAAACGAATGTTATTCTGACTGAATGCAGAAATACAAAACAAAAAAAATGGAAAAAAAATTTACATTTCTTTTGTTAACCGGTATTTATCGTTATCCTCTTTTCCACTTACTCTTTTTTTTCCATTTTTATACTTTTATACAATAAAAATCTCTTTAATAATCTTCCCTCTCTTCAATTTCATTACAATAGTTATACGGCATTCGAGTATACCTCTCTCTTTTTCTATTATAATAGAGTAGATTTATGCAATCTATAGACTATGATGCTTTTATTATTTACATCTCGTGTAAAATAAATACATTTGCACACATACATTTATAGAAGAAATTTATTGAAGGTGTAAATATTAGAATAATACATTAACTGCAAAAAACATACAAACAAACGAAAAGAATAAGGGATTCTATTATTGCGATAGCAATTTAGAAAATGCGTGATCCTTTAACATATAAAATTTGTGACCATATATATGAAAAAAAGGAAAAACTTGGAAAACTTTAAAAGATTATCAAAAATAATATCAACTACGCAGCTATTCAGGACAGTAAAATATACATGTATGTATAAGAAATGTATATACAAAATGTATAGAGAAATTCACGTGTATAGTAAAAGTAACA